ACCTCGAATGTACCTCAAAATCCATTTCACGGCGTCCCAATGACCCACTCCTGGATCGTGCATGTATCTCGATACCATGCTCACCGCTTGTGACAAATCTGGCCTCGTACATACCATTGTGTACATCAAGCTCCCAACCGCGCTCGCATATGGAGTCTTCGACATTAACTCACGGTCTTCAACTGACTTCGGTGAGAGGCCAGCTGAAAGCTTCAAATGGGCTCCCAATGGTACACCAACTGGCTTCGTATCCATGCTAACATGGAATCGCTGTAGAACTTTCTTCAAATAAGCCACATGTGTCAAACAAATTCTGCCCTTCTTCTTGTCTCTGCCGATCTCCATCCCTAAAATGCGCTTCGCCTCGCCCAAGTCCTTCATCTCAAACTCATTTGAAAGCTGAACTTTCAACTCATCTATAGCCGACCTGGAAATAGAGGCAACCAACATGTCATCGACATAGAGCAACAAATAAATATACGCACCTCCTTTCAACTTGCGAAAATATACGCAAGGATCAAACTGGCTCCGAGTGTACGAATGACCAAGCATAAAACCATCGAATCGCCTATACCACTGTCGAGGAGACTGCTTCAAACCGTATAGCGATTTCTTCAGTTTGCAAACTAATTTTTCTTTCCCTGCAGCTCGGAATCCCAATGGCTGAGTCATATATATTTCTTCATCAAGATCACCATGAAGAAATGCCGTTTTCACATCCAACTGATCTAATTCCAAACCATACTGTGCCACCAAAGCTAGCAAAATCCGAATCGAAGAATGCTTCACCACCGGAGAGAAAACCTCATTATAGTCAATACCTTCCTCCTGTGCATAGCCCTTCGCAACCAACCTAGCCTTGAATCTCAACGGAGTGCCTTCAATGCCCTCCTTCTTCGTGTATACCCACTTGCAACCAATTGCCTTCCGCCCCTTTGGAAGCTCAACAAGCTCCCATGTATCGTTCTTATGAAGAGATTCCATCTCCTCCTGCATAGCCACCTGCCACGAATCAGCCTCCGAACTCTGCTCGGCCTCTCTGAATGTAGTAGGCACTAACTCATCGATACTCTCCACCGGAAGTGCATACGCAACTGTGTCGGCATACCGTGCTGGCATCTGTATGTTTCTCCTCTGTCTCCTAGCCGCAATAGAATCCTGAACCTGAGCCGTCGGTTCCTGATCCTGCACATTTGTACTCGTATCCTCCGTGTCACCGTCGTGCTCGCCTGGCGTCACCTCAGTCGGCACCTGCATGGATACTGTACCATCTGGACAATGTGGAGCTGCATCGATCTCCACCACCTGCGATATCTCCTCCGTCGGGTCGCTCTCCACCTGATGAGAGCTGGGAAGCTTCAAGATAGAAGCTTCATCAAACGTGACGTCCCTACTCAGCACAATCTTCTTATCCACTGGATCCCAAAGCTTGTATCCCTTGACACCACGCTTGAATCCTACAAATATGGCCTTCCTAGCTCGAGGTTCCAATTTATCAGTTCTAACATGATAATATGCAGGGCACCCGAATACCTTGAGCTGGTCATAGTCATGTGCTGGCTTTCCCGACCACATCTCCATAGGGGTTTTCCCCTCAATCGCAGATGAAGGCAGCCTATTAATGAGGTGGCTCGCATATGTAAGTGCCTCAGCCCAAAAGATCTTCTCCAAACCACTCTGCGATAATAAACATCGGATCTTCTCCAGTAAAGACCGATTCAACCTCTCTGCCACCCCATTTTGCTGCGGTGTATGACTAACCGTGAAGTGCCTCTCTATGCCCTCGTCTCGACATAGCTGCTGAAAGCGGTCAGAAGTATACTCACCACCGTTGTCGGATCGCAACGTCTTGATCTTTCTCCCAGTCTGAAGTTCTAATCTCTTCTTCCACTCCACAAACAAATCTAGGACATCACTCTTCTTCGTCATGGTGTACACCCAACAACGCCTAGAATAGTCATCTACAAAAGTGACGAACCAATGTCTACCACCAAGTGATGCAGTCTTGGTGGGACCCCAAATGTCTGTGTGCACGTAGTCCAGGATGCCCCTCGTCTGATGAATGGCAGTCCCGAACTTCACCTTCGTCTTCTTGCCAAGAACACAGTGCTCACAGAACTCAATCTTCCCACTCTTGGCTCCCTTCAATAGCCCCTGCTTGCACAATGCCTGCAGTGACTTTTCACCTGTGTGCCCCAATCTATAGTGCCAAAGTCTGCTCATGTCCGCTTCTGAAATAGCCGAAGCAACATGGCCAATCTCGATGCTTTCCTTCAGATAATACAAATTCCGATTGCGGACTCCCCTCATCACCACCAATGATCCCTTAGTAACCTTCGCTACAGCGTTTTCGAAAGTCACCTTGAATCCCTTCGCCTTCAAAGCTCCAACTGAGATAAGATTTTTCTTCAGTTGAGGAACAAATCTCATCTCCTTCAACTCACGGACTACTCCATCGTGCATCCTAATCCGTATGGTACCTATCCCACAAATGCCACAGGATTGATCATTTCCCATGACAACAACACCCCCGTCGACTTTCTCAAAAGATGCAAACCAGTCTCGCCTAGGGGTCACATGAAAGGTAGCGCCGGAATCAAGCATCCAATCTGATGCATCCACATGGTTCACCTCCGGAGTAATCAGTAGAGAAAAGCACGAATCATCGGAATCATCGCCTTTCGCAATGTTCACCTCATTGGCCTTCGGGCCCTTTTTCTTGCTATTCTCCTTCTCTTTGAGCTTCGGGCAGTCTCTCTTCCAATGTCCCTGCTCCTTGCAGAATGCACATTGGTTCTTTGTTAATTGGTGGCGGCCTCTAGACTTTGACCTCCCTCTGTTACCACCTTTCGGATATGGGCTTCTGCCTCTCGTCGACAAGGCCTCTCCTGAAGTACTAGCGCGGGAAGTCTCCTTGTCATTCCTCCTCAAATCGTAGTTCGTCAAAGCGCTAGTCACTTCACTATAGCTGATAGAAGATCTCCCGTTCAACAAAGTGAGCACGAAGGTATCATACTCCTCATCCGGTAAGGAGCCCAACAAAATAATCGTCTTGTACTCATCTGATATCTTCTCATCAACATTCGCCAAGTCTGACAACAACTTAGTGTAGTTGTTCACATGAGCCGCAAGCGAGGTGCCTCTGGACATCTGAAATCTGAATAACCTACGCAGCAAGTGCAACCGGTACTCAACACTCTTCGTAAGGTACTTATTGTTGAGAATTTCCCACATCTTCATCGCAGACGTCACCCCAATCACATCATACTTCAGCTCCTGTTCTAAACAGGACCTGATCACCCCACAAGCGTTCCTATTCATTTTCTCTCATATCGCCTCATCATATTTAGGTGGCCTCTCGTGGACCATGATGGTCTCTTCCAAATTCTGAGCATTGAGCGCATCCTGTACGTCGCTCATCCACAAACCAAAGTTGATTTTTCCGTCATATTTCACCACACTAATTTTGGTGTTCTGAAAACCAACTTGTATTGTCCCCGCCATCGATTTGCTGCTTTCACATTCTTCTCCCATTGCGAACTAACTCCAAATTGTAGAGAAAGAACAAATTTGATAGAATTAGGAACCACCCAACTGAACCCTAGATCGGATTCCAAATAGATCTCCTATCCACACGAGGAAAGCGAAAGTTCATTGATATCTTCTTTTTATAAAGCAAATCGACTTCGATTAATCTCCAACGGCAACTCCTAATGTTATCTCCACCGAAGCCGAGAACTCCAAGAACTAAGCTTCACACAAGAATCTTCCTCCATCAAAAAACCCTAGATCTGAAATCTGGGCTCTGATACCACTTGTTGCGCGCAGCGAAAATTTCGGCAGCACTTCGGCAGCACAACAAGAGAGTCAGATCGCAATAAAAATTCCCGCCTCACTAAGGAGACAAGAATCTGAAGCGGATATCTCAACCAAGTGAGATATCGGCTCTTCCTCTCATCAGTTCTAGAACTGACCTGTCGAGGGATCCTAAAAGCTATTACAAATCACACAAAAGCAGTACAATCAATTTTTACGTGGTTCGGCAAATTGCCTACGTCCACGGGGCAAGGAGGGGGAGAGATCTACTAATAGAGGGAGAGAATACAACTAGGGTTTACAATTACTCTCAATCTAAACCCTCAAACAAACTCTCAAATCCCTCACAATATCTCTCTACAAAAGCACAAAAGCACTGCACCAAAAAAAAAATCTTCTCTGCTGCAAAATTCCCAAAGCCGAAAAAATTTCTCCCGCAAGCAAACCTTCATGCACTGTAGCCGCACAACCCCAAAATCAATCAAGCCTTGCAGCCGCCAAAGAAATCAACCTCCTGCGCTCACAAATATTTGTTGTAGCCGCAAAACACAAAAGAAAACAAATCCCAACCTTGCACGAAAACCTAAAACAAATCAAGTGTTATATATAAATGATTCGTGGGCATTCGTTCGTGGGCTTCATGCGGAACATCAAAACCGACTTTGAGTCGGTTTTGTTCTCTTCGTACGCATCATCACGTGGGTGGGGACCCACGCCGACTTTGAGTCGGTTTTGTTCTCTTCGTACGCATCATCACGTGGGTGGGGACCCACGTCCGCTCACAGCGGTAACATGGGCCGCGATGGGTTTTTTTATTGGGTACTAGAATTGAATTTCAATCCTGGCTCAGTCCTAATCCTTTAAACAAGTAAACATAAGATTAAATGCTAAACCTTTGCGGATTCTTAAAATAGAAATTTCCTATATTCATTCACGAATTCGGATCCTCTCCACTATAAAAAAAAAATAGTGGAGGGACCACTACATAATCACAGCCATTGATTATCTAGTTGATGGTTATGATTTTTTCTTTTAGTGCAAATTATGAATGAGTGCAATACCCGGGGGTATGGTAAGTGTTAGATTTAGATTGTATCATAACCGCCTACTAAATAATCAACACTTGAGATTAAAAGTAGTGGTCTCTCCACTACTTTTTTGTAGTGGAGAGGATCCAAATCCATTCATTCACAACCGTAACGAAGTGGGAACTCATCAAATTCCTCATGAATCTCAACTCTGCCTCCGATTCTCTCCAGCCACTTGAAAACTTGAAACATAGAAGGCCTCTCCTCAGCACGAGCAACCAAACATCTACACCCAATCGTCAACAACTCGACAATCTCATCCTCATTCCCTGTCCTTCTCAGACACGGGTCTATAGCTTCACCAACCCAGCCCGCAGCCAATAACCGAACTACCCCATCAGCCAACTCCTCATCGCCGCTCTCCATCTCCGTTCCATCAGTCACCAGCTTTAGCAGTAACATTCCGAACTGATACACATCTTCGCTCGTCGCAGAGGACGTGCTCGTGCTGAAGAGCCTGTTGAGCCCGAAATCAGCAATCCTCGGCTCATCGTCCTCATCGAGAAGTACAGCGCTCGTGTTCAAGCTCCCGTGGGTGAGGGGCGTCTGAAAGCCGTGGTGAAGCCAGGCGAGGCCTCGCGCAACACCGAGCGCGGCCCTCAGCCTCTTCTGCCATCCAAAACTCTCACATCCTGACCTGAGACGTAGCGGTAGAGCCCCATTTGGCATATTCTTGTATATGAGAAGCTTCTCTCGTTCGAGAAAGCAGAAGCCAAGGAGGGGGACCAGATTCGGGTGGCGGATCTGCCCGAGCGTCTCCATCTCCAGCCCTAAACCCCCGTTTGAATGCGAGATCACGGAGCCGATTACGGTCCAGGGCCGAGCCGTCCGTGCAGGATGGTGTTTGATGTCCCGGTATACAGGACTTCCAGGCTACCAAAACGTTGTCGGATGAAGATCCCGCCTGTAGCGGCGTGTCAGGTCGGCGAGATCACCTCCTCAACAGGATCGTGAAACAGGGAAACCCGAATGTATCCGCTGTGGGGAAACGACGTAACTTGATCCGGACTGCGAACAGTCTTCTTCTTCCTCATCCTACCTATGCCCACAGGCATGCGATATCTCGACAAGATATAACAAATCGCTACAGAAAGAAAGAATCCGATAGCCCCCGCAGCAAGATTAACAATGACGCCGATGATCTTCGTTGTTGCGCCGTGTTCGCACTCGGAAGAGATTAGGTCGCCGCAGAGCGACGGATTGTGAGAAAAGCTGGCAGCACCAAATTTGAATAAGCCTTCAGGGAGCGAACCGGAGAGATCGTTGCCTGAGAGGTGGAGAGAGCGCAGCCTCGGAAGAAAAGACAGAGAGGGAGGGATGGAGCCGGAGAGCAAGTTGGAGGAGAGATCGAGCCTGTTGAGGTAAATGCAGGTGGAGAGCTCGGGAGGGATCGGGCCCGAGAGGGAATTGGAAGAGATGTTGAGGACGACGAGGTAGGGGAGCCAGGTGCAAAGCGAGGCAGGGATGGGGCCCGCAGCAGTTTTATCAGAAGAGGGCGAGGGAGGTCATGGAGGGCAAGTGAATCGGAGCAAGCGGAGGGTATGGAGCAGAAGGAGGCTGATAGGGAGAGACAGCGACACGGACGCCGACCTTCTTCAGGTTCCAACAGGAGGACCGCCGGGAGTAGGCAGAACGAAGTTTTGGTGAGAGACGTTAGGACGAAGGTCCACGACCCGAGTTTTAATCAGGGGTCGGAGACGGAGGACTTTGAAGCCCGCGTTAGGCAGGCGGACTTTCGTCTGCCACGCGTCGCTGCCAACCGCAGTTAGAAGAAGGACGGTGATGATGGCCGGAAACATGATATTAATAATTGGAAGAGTGAGAACTAAAGGAGGATATAAGTGAGAGACTGGCGGGGCGAAGACTTGGACTGGCGAGGCGAAGACTTTGAACGCTTCTTTGGGTTTTTGCGTAGAAGTGTTGCTCCAGTATATCGAAAGACCCACCTACCCCTATATGTTCCCAAAAAACCCCCGGAATGTAAACTCAAAATATAGAATACAAAGTGTAACTATATCCGATGAGGCATGTAGTTACACACACTTTAATATATAATAATACACTCTATATAGTATGTAACTGTACACCTTAATGTAGTTATACACCCTATTGTATGCTGTTACATACTTTACTACTACTAACTTTGTTGAGTTATTTAGATAGTAATTAGTCAATGTTGTAAGGACCTATTTGTAAGAGTGCACTAATATAAAAGGGGTACCTCTCTATGAGAGAAACAACCCTAATTTTCACCCAAAATTCCACATGGTATCAGAGCTATGTGACGGCGCCTTCCAGAGCTGGGCATGATCGTGGAGCTTTTGGGTCTCGCGCATAGGATCGTGTCCTTGAAGAGCCCGACGAAGACAAAGATCCGACGAAACCCACGACGAAGCCCAGATCCCCACGACGAAGTCCAGATCTCCAGACGACGAAGAAACGCCATCGCTGACTCACCTCCTGCCAAGTCTACGACGAAGTCTTCAACCTCCGACGAAGCCCAGCCCCTGACGAAGTCTCCCAGACCGCTCTGACGACGAAAGCTTGACGAAGACGACGAAGCCCAGATCCCCGACCGCTCCGACGAAGACGACGAAGCCCAGATCCCCGACCGCTCCGACAAAGTCTCTCTTTCCCGCCCTTTCCGCCTTCTGCCATTCTTTAATTTGGAAAAACCCTAACTTGGGTTTTTTGGGGATCTGAAGGTCCGGTCCTGGCCTCTTTGACTCTCCAACATTTTTTGGCCCTTTGATTCTCATCAAATGCTGAGAAAGAGAGATTAGAAGGGCTGACTCACCTGATGCTGCTGAGAAAGAGAGATTAGAAGGGTAGACTGGTAGAGAAGAAGCTAAGACCTCGGAGTGGAGGCTGAAGATCAAGTATAGGTGCTCAATCTCGCACGACGGGTAGTTGAGTTGTGTTTGATCTTGTTTTTGTGTTGGGTTTGAGATAAGGGCAATCAACTGTGAAGATGGGAACACCTGTGACTAGTCAGGAATTGAAAGAGATCCTGGAGGGGGTGGTCAGGGTATTTCAGACCAAACTAGAGGAGGATTCTAGTAGGTCAGTTGCGGCCGCACCGGAGTCGGCGCAAGTAATACAGAGGGTAAAGTTGTTGCCTAATGACATCAAGCTTGAGGGGACAAGAAACTATCTGAGTTGGTCTTGAAGGGCATTGTTGAACCTTCGAATCAAAGGACTTGAAAAGTATGTGAAGGGGGAGTGCACTGAGCTGGAGAATAAGGCGAGTACTGAGTGGAACACTTGGAGTAACACTAATTTTCTGGTGGTTTCTTGGTTGTTGACTTCTGTGTCTCCAACCATAGCTGGGATGGTGGAGTCTATCTCGAGTGCAGCTGATGTCTGGAAGACATTGGAGGGGATGTATTCTGGAGCTGGGAGTGTGATGATGATGATAGAAGTGGAAGAGAAGATTGATGCTACCACACAAGGGGAGAAGACAGTGCACCAGTATGCAGCAGAGCTACATCACTTATGGGCAGATTTGGATCACTATGACCCGTTATCACTACAAAACCCAGCAGATGTTTTTTTGGGGAGACAGTATCTTGAGCGCAGGCGTGTGGCTCGCTTTCTTAAGGGCCTGAACCCAAATTTGAGGGAAGGAGGGCAGCAATGTGCCATCTGTCATCTCTACCCTCTTTGGATGAGGCTATTGCATCGATGGAACAAGAGGAGATCAGACAGAATGTGATGACAGGTGAGGCCTCACCTGCTGTCCGCTCGGCATTGGTGGTTCCAGATGCTCACATCAGAGATGATAGAGAATGCTATAATTATGGAAAGAAAGGGCACCTCAGCTATAATTGCCCTCAACCCTACAACACTGGTGGCAACCGAGGGGCAGAAGACAGAGAGGTGGCCGTGCATGTCGAGGAGGCAGGGGACGTGGAGGCCGAGGAGTTGCTCACCTAGCTGTAGTAGAGGAGTCCCAGACTACTGCTGGGATGACTGGAGCTGAAATAACAGAGCTGGAGGAACTACGTCTGTTCAAGCTTCAGGCTGAGAGTTCGAAGGGCAAGGGACAAGTCACTCAGGATCTGGATAACACTACATGCTTTGGTAACTTTGTTGGTTATGCTCATGCGAACAAAGGTACACGGGTTCAGGCACTTGCATCCACTAAAACTCATGTTGATTGGATCATAGACTCAGGCGCATCTAGGCATGTCACAGGAGCATCTAGTGAGTTTGCATTATATTATCCGAGTAAGCATATGCATCCTGAGACAGTTCAGACTGCTGATGGGACATCCCAACCCATCAGGGGTACTGGTTCGGTCCATTGCACTTCATCTGTTACCTTGTCATCTGTACTGCATGTTCCTTCGTTTCTAGTTAACTTACTCTCTGTTAGCTCTCTCATTGATCAATTAAATTGCACTGTGTTATTTGATCGAGATATGTGTGTCTTTCAGGAGAAGAAAACGAGGAGGAGGATTAGGACTGGCATCAGGCGTGATGGTCTTTGGTACTTGGACAGGGAGACTGCAATGATTGCTGCTGCTGTTAGCGGATGGCCAGAGGCAGAAGCGATGCTTCAACATTGTCGGTTAGGGCATTTATCTTTTGATAGTTTGAATTGGTTAGAACCTGAGTTAATGAAGAAAGTGGATAGAAAAGAGTTATTTTGTAATGCTTGTGAACTTGGAAAACGTACTCGTTCTACTTATAGAATGATTGGTCTTCGAAGCTTTGAACCATTTGCACTTGTCCATTCTGATGTTTGGGGACCATGTCCTACTACTTCTATTAGTGGTTTTAGATGGTTTGTTACTTTTATTGATTGTTATTCACGTATGGTCTGGATATACATGCTATTAGTGGTTTTAGATGGTTTGTTACTTTTATTGATTGTTATTCACGTATGGTCTGGATATACATGATGAAGCAGAAATCTTAGATGGTTTGTTACTTTTATTGATTGTTATTCACGTATGGTCTGGATATACATGATGAAGCAGAAATCTGAGGTTTGCAAATGTTTTCAAGATTTCTCGGCCTAAGTGAAGACACAGTTTGGAGTGCAGGTGAAGATTCTTCGAACAGATAATAGGACTGAGTATGTCAATAAGGAGTTTGCCGCTTTTATCTCTAGTCAGGGAATCCTTCATCAAACCACCTGTCCAGACACCCCTGCTCAGAATAGGGTGGCTGAACGTAAGAACATGCATCTACTGGAAGTGGCACGCTCATTGATGCTGGCAATGAATGTGCCTATGTTTTTATGGAGTGAGGCTGTTATGACAGCAGCTTATCTGATCAATAGGATGCCATCAAGAGTATTAGGGATGAAGACATCATGTGAGATGCTCTTGGGCTCGAATATTTTTGTTGTTCCACCAAGAGTGTTTGGATGCACATGTTATGTGAGAGATCACAGATTGATGGTGAGTAAACTAGATCCGTAAGCAGTTAAATGTATTTTTATTGGCTACTCATCAAGCCAAAAAGGATACAAGTGTTGGTATCCCACTGAAAGAAGGTTGTTTGTCAGTATGGATGTGACTTTTCGGGAGTTTGAACCTTTTTATGGGGAGAAGACGGAGTTGAGTTCCTTGTTTGGAGATGGCTCTACTGATGCTAGTAGAGAGGGGGAGAAGGAGAATGAAAATGAGAATGACATTGTGGTTGGGATGATTCCATGTCCTCTTGAGTCACCGAGCAGTGATGGTACACTGCCGAGTAGTGGTGGCTACTCAGGAGGTGACAGTCAAGGTCAGGGGGAGCTGAGAGTATACACGAGGAGACAGAAACAGCAGCATGAGCCGCCTCCTGTGCCTATGCCAGTACCCACAAATGTTGATGTCCCAAGTCCCTCCTCTCTAGTGACTTCTTCATCTTCTCCACCTGAGTCGATAGGTAACGAGTTCTTCCCTGATACTTCTAATACTCCTGTCTTGCTCCGCAGATCCTCCAGAGTCAATGCTGGAAAACCTCCAGCTAAGTTTGGTAGTTGGGATACTGACATTGCGAATTACATTTCATATGCATCCATTCCACCTGCATATAAGTCATTCATTGCATCATTGCATTCAATGCTTGTACCTAACAACTGGCAGGTTGCTAAGCAAGATCCTAGGTGGTTGAGTGCCACGCAAGAGGAACTTCAGGCCTTGAAGAAGAATGATACATAGGAGCTGGTACATTTGCCAGCTGGGAAGCGTGCTGTTATATGTAAGTGGGTGTATACGGTTAAGCAAACTCCGGAGGGCAAGATCGACAGATACAAGGCCAGATTAGTTGCTAAAGGTTATAGCCAAACATATGACATTGACTATGACGAGACATTTGCTCCAGTAGCAAAGATGAGCACTGTTAGAATGTTGGTGTCAACATTTGCTCCAGTAGCAAAGATGAGCACTGTTAGAATGTTGGTGTCATGTGCTGCCAACTTTAATTGGCCACTACATCAGCTAGATGTGATGAGCACTGTTAGAATGTTGGTGTCATGTGCTGCCAACTTTAATTGGCCACTACATCAGCTAGATGTTAAGAATGCTTTTTTGCATGGAGATCTCCAGGAGGAGGTGTATATGGAGATTCCACCAGGCTTCGCTACTTCTCAAGTAGCTGGGAAGGTGTGCAAGTTAAAGAAGTCTTTGTATGGGTTAAAACAGTCTACGAGGGCATGGTTTGACAGATTCAGGTTGGTAGTCTGCGGTATGGGATACAAGCAGTGCAATAGGGATCATACTGTGTTTTACAGGCACTCTAAAACTCGTATCACCATTCTGGCGGTCTATGTTGATGATATTGTTATCACTGGAGATGATGCTGAAGAAATCCTATGGTTGAAGAAGAAATTGGGAGAGGAATTTGAAGTTAAAGATCTGGGGCAGTTGAAATACTTCCTCGGAATTAAAATTGCAAGATCGCGAAAGGGTATAGTGCTTTCTCAGCGGAAGTATGCTCTGGATCTTCTCTAAGAGACAGGGATGTTGGGGTGCAGAGTTGCTTCTACTCCTATCGAACAGGATCATAAGATGTGTGTTGAGGGTGGTGACCCAGTGAGTAAAGAGCAATATCAAAGATTAGTTGGACGACTTATATACCTATGCCACACGAGATCTGATATTACACATGCTGTGAGTGTGGTGAGTAGATATATGCATGATCCCAGAGAGCAGCATATGGAGGCAGTTCGCAGAATTCTCAGATATATTAAGGGAAGCCCAGGAAAGGGGTTGTGGTTCAGAAGTTTTGGACATCTGAGAATTGAAGGTTATTGTGATGCTGATTGGGCAGGTTGTATGGATGATCGTAGGTCCACTACAGGCTACTGTGTATTTGTTGGAGGCAATCTCGTATCTTGGTGTAGCAAGAAGCAAGATGTGGTGGCTAGGTCTACAGCTGAGGTCGAGTACAAGGCTATGGCAGTTAGTCTGTGCGAGTTGATGTGGGTCAAAAACATATTATCTGAGATGCGCTTGTTTAGAAGAGACTCCTTAAAACTTTGGTGTGACAACAAATCGGCGATTAATATTGCAAACAATCCAGTTTAGCATGATCGCACCAAACATGTAGAGATTGATCGGTTCTTTATCAAGGAACAACTAAATAGAGGAGCTCTAACTTTGAGCTATGTGAAATCAGAAGAGCAGCTAGTTGATTGTTTAACAAAAGGATTAGGTTTCTAGAGAGTATGATATCTTTTGTAACAAGATGGGGATGATTGATATCTATCGCCCATCTTGAGGGGGAGTGTTGAGTTATTTAGATAGTAATTAGTCAATGTTATAAGGACCTATTTATAAGAGTGCACTAATATAAAAGGGGTACCTCTCTATGAGAGAAACAACCCTAATTTTCACCCAAAATTCCACAAACTTTAATACATATAAAGCCTTTAAAAAAAGGCGAGAAAAATTGGAGTACCTTCCTAGAACACGGCATGACTGTTGACTCAACAAACACCACAGCTCTATGCTGTCAAAACAGGAATATAATAATATAAAATCTAAATTAAAGAGTTAGAAAATTCAGGCCTGATCGGGAGCAATCGTGATGTCACTGCCCTAGAAGATTGAGGACTTGCCTATCGCCCTGGCGCAATCTGTCCCCTCTCCCCTAGCGGTAAAAACGCCCAGAATCGGCCGGCCTCTGCACTCGGGCGTGAGTCACAGAGCTTATGCTCAGACGAAAACGATTGCCCAAAATATAAATGTAAATATGTAGCCGAAATTTCTTGGAGAAATGAGAGTAGAGAAAGAAGAGAGCTTAGAAGTTGTTCTTCTCTTCGTTGGTGTGTCTCTGAATGAGCTCCACGTCTGCTTATATAGGTGAGGAGAAGTGTAACCCCCGCTGAATCCAAGGGACCGTTACACACAAATCTTGCTTCCGTTACCCGCATGCAGCCGTTACAAAACATGTAAAACGTGCAAAAATATAAGCTTGAGAAGCAAAAAATGTGTGCGTGTGTGGCGTGGCGGGGCGGGCGCGCGCGCGTGTGTGTGAGATAGATATGCAAAGCCCACAAAACCTAAAACACTATTCAAAGCCCAATAAGGAGAGAACCATTATATACCCTATACTATTCATCTCATTTTTCCAATGTGGTACTATTCACAAAGGCAAAATTGTCTTTTCATGAACAAAACATCCAACACTTTACACATTGCTACAACACACGGTCATATTGAAGAAACTCCAACATCTCGTTTGGTACGTGGGAATGAACTCAAATAAGAATGGAATGGAAGAAGAAATGGAATGGAATGTATGTGGGAATGGAATGAACATTCCCATTCTCTTGTTTGGGTGCATTTGTAGAATGAAGCTAGAATAAAAATCTCATTTTCATTCCCATGTTTGGTATCACTAGTTCACAAATGAGAATGAAATCTTATTTTCTAATAATGCCCTTACAAGAACATAGATTTTTAATAAGATAAAAATAAACATTAATGATAATAACTAAACAATTTTATTTATGCATAGGTTATATTAATCTAGCTATGTTTTATACTAATGCACATGTTATCTCTCAGGTGTATGTTCCGTTTATATTTTTTAAACAATACCCACTATTTGTTAGTCTTAAAAAATTAAGGAAAAATAAATAAAAGAGTATCACATCTTTCATAGGTCCAAAAAATAATATAAAGAATGATATCCACAATCCACAGTTCTAGATATCAAAATTAACTCATTTGGTAAATTATCAATAGGGGTATAATTGAAAATTACGTAACTAATTTGATTATCACTTGAATGTGAATGATCATTCCTTATCAATTCACTTGAAATACTCATTCCCACAAAAACTGGGAATGATCATTCCCTGGGAATGGTCATTCCAACTTCTAAAAAATAGGTACGTTTGGTATCGGGAAATGAGAAGTGAGAATGACCATTCCATTCCACCCCATTCCCGTTTACCAAACGAGGCACAAGTGGAAGCTGATTCGAGCATGGCACTAATTGCAATAAAGCAACTATAAAACTACTACTGACTTTATTGGATTATCAACACTTAAAGTCTTTACCAAAATGGTGAGAAAAATCGCAATACCTTCCTAGTTGTCTGCAGTGTTTACAAAGGCATGCGCCTCATGCGCTTGTGATGTGGCGCGATGGCGAAGCTCCACACGTCTGATGCAGCAACGCCTTTTGCACCTCGCCAGTATCCTGACTTTGCGCATGGTGCATTTAGTACATAGTCTCGTATATTTTTGTTCGTTAACATCTAAATTGAGTCTTTATACTCGATAACCCATATCCCAAAAAGTAAAATAAATCCATTAGACCTTTTAGTATCCTTCAATTGAGGACCCTAACTACTTCTCATTTGCTATTTGGTTTTGCTTGGATATTAGTCTTGATTTGACATTTGATTTGAAAAATTATGAAATTTTCTACTATGTTGGATGTGTTAACATTTAAAATTAAGACCTTATATTGTGATTTGGTAGCAAGATATTATATATCCTTGCATATTTTTTTATGTGAATCTCTAAACATGCTCTTCCGTGTTTGATTATTTATCTTAAAAAATTATGTGTGTGGTATGGGCCTCATGTCACTTGGGGTGCACGCATCAAGTTGCGTCTTGCGCATGCACGCGTACAGATCCTTTGTGCCCCGTATTGCTCCTCGCGTGTTAACAACACTGGTTGTCTGATAACAAGAAAACGTCTAAGTGAAAATTCAGTATATCATGATACAAATCTAGTGGGATACAGGTAATGCATATTTGTAAGACACTTAAGAAATATGGATTAAAATGAGTTAACCCCTCAAAATGAGGGGTTTACTAATACTCCTATTTAGAAGAATTAAGAGCTAACCCCTCTAATTATAAAGACTCCTATTTAGAAGAATTAAGAGCTAACCCCTCTAATTATAAAGAAAATAGTCAAAATCCTTGTTATTCCCAAACACTAAAAATTAACCCCTCTAATTATAAAGAAAATAGTCAAAATCCTTGTTATTCCCAAACACTAAAAATGATCATAAGGTTTAAAATAAAACTTATAGAACGGGTTAATTAATAATTTAGTCATTCGGATTATCAAATGGGCTAACTAAGTTAATCCTTCTCCTTAATCCCTTTTCATTAACCCTTCGCCAAACAGGGCCTAAGAAATAGGGAGTTATCCAGCTTAACATTCACAAAGAAAAAGTTTGGTTGACGAATTGACTGCCGAGTGGATTCCTATTAGTAGTGCTTAGGTAGTACGTAGTCACCTCTATCAGCTTGTATGAAACTATCGGTTAATGTAATGATAGAAGCATTTGGCCTGCTTCATGCATCATGCTGTTGTGTAATGTTCAATTTCCTTGATAACGACCGCTAGGAAAACATACATCGCATTTAGTAATTTACACGAGGCATATTAAATGAAAATGCCTTTCTTTCTATTACTGAATCACATTAAAAAAAGTTAATCATCTTATTAACTGCCACAAATATGTATAGGGAAGGGTCAAGAAAATTTAGTCACAATGTGAAAGAGATGCTAACCTTTCAAGCAAAGCCCACAAGAAGTTGTGAAGCACGTGATCACATGGGGCCCACGCCCACCCATGTGATGCTTGAAACCGCGTGACATTTTCACGTGAACAATTGCGTTCATGAGTGTATTTCAAACCGCATGAAGCCAAGGCCCACCCGAATACCGAATACATATATATATATATATGATTGTGATTTTTTAGGTTTTCGGTGCAAGAGTTGTGCGGCTACAGTGCAAGTGCGGGCGTGATTTGTTTGCGGCTGCAGAAGAGAAGAGGGCAGGGTGCAATCGTTTGGCTGCGGGATTCTCTGCGGCAAGAAGAAAAAGTGCAGCCTTTTGTGCATCCTTTTATAGAGAGTTGTTGTGAGGGATTTGAGAGTCTGTTTGAGGGTTTAGTTTGTGAGTGATTGTAAACGCTAGTTGTAATCTCTCCCTCTATTAGTAGATCTCCCCCCTCCTTGCCCCGTGGACGTAGGCAATTTGCCGAACCACGTAAAAATTAGTTGTACTGCTTTTGTGTGATTTGTAATAGCTTTTAGGATCCCTCGATAGGTCAAGATATCCGCTTCAGATTCTTGTCTCCTTTGTGAGACGGGAATTCTTATTGCGATCTGACTCTCTTGTTGTGCTGCCGAAGTGCTGCCGAAATTTCCGCTGCGCGCAACAAGTGGTATCAGAGCCCAGATTTCAGATCTAGGGTGTTTTGAATTAGGTGGAGGAAGATTCGGTTGGAAGCTTGGTTCTTGGAGTTCTAGGCTTCGGTGGAGATAGCATTAGGAATTACGGTTGGAGATTTCGCTTTCCTCGTGTGGATAGGAGATCTATTTGGAATCCGATCTAGGGTTCAGTTGGGTGGTTCCTAATTTCTATCAAATTTATTCTTTCTCTACAATTTGGAGTTAGTTCGCAATGGGAGAAGAAGAAGAAAGCAGCAAATCGATGGCGAGTACAATACAAGTTGGTTTTCAGAACACTAAAATTAGTGTGGTGAAGTATGACGGTAAAATCAACTTTGGTTTGTGGATGAGCGACGTACAAGATGCGCTCAATGCTCAGAATTTGGAAGAGACCATCATGGTCCACGAGAGGCCACCTAAATATGAAGAGGCGGTATGTGATAAGATGAATAGGAACGCTTGTGGGGTGATCAGGTCCTGTTTGGAACAGGAGCTGAAATATGATGTGATTGGGGTGACGTCTGCAATGAAGATGTGGGAAATTCTCAACAACAAGTATCTCACAAAGAGTGTTGAGAACAGGTTGCACTTGCTACGAAGACTCTTCAGATTTTAGATGTCCAGAGGCACCTCGCTAGCGGCTCATGTGAACAACTACACTAAGTTGTTGTCGGACTTGGCGAATATTGATGAGAAGATATCGGATGAGTACAAGATGATTATTTTGTTGGGCTCCTTACCCGATTAGGAGTATGATACATTCGTGCTCACTTTGTTGAACGGGAGATCTTCTATCAGCTATAGTGAAGTGACTAACGCTATGACGAACTACGATTTGAGGAGGAAGGATAAGGAGACTTCCCGCGCTAG